AGGCCACGCTCCGCCTCTGAGCCTCGGTCTCCTCATCTGCCAAGCGGAGATGAGAAGGGGGCCTTGGGGGCAGAGTGCTCGCTGCAGCTCCCTGACCTTCTCCCGCCCACAGGGGCCAAATTCCCCATCAAGTGGACAGCTCCAGAAGCCGCCCTCTACGGCCGGTTCACCATCAAGTCAGATGTGTGGTCCTTTGGAATCTTGCTGACGGAGCTCACGACAAAGGGACGAGTGCCCTACCCTGGTGAGAAGCGTCCATAGACCCCATTGGTCCCCGAATCCCTGGACCCTGGTGGCCTCGGGCAGCCCCACTCCCTCCCAGCGGCTTCCCCAGTGTGTAACAAAAAGTGAGCAGCTGGCCTTAGGTTCTCTCAGGGCCTGGGCGGAGCTCTCCTGTCCCCATCATCTTCTCCTGCCCCACTTCCTGCCTGGAGCCAGGCTCCTCACGCCCCCTCTGCCCCCAGGGATGGTGAATCGCGAGGTGCTGGATCAAGTCGAGCGGGGCTACCGGATGCCCTGCCCGCCCGAGTGTCCCGAGTCCCTGCACGACCTCATGTGCCAGTGCTGGCGGAAGGAGCCCGAGGAGCGGCCCACCTTTGAGTACCTGCAGGCCTTCCTGGAGGACTACTTCACGTCCACGGAGCCCCAGTACCAGCCCGGGGAGAACCTATAGGAGCAGGCGGGCCAGACTGTTCTCGGCTCCAGCCCTGGGCGGCAGCCCGTGCGTGCGGGGCCTGGCCTCCTCTGCCGCCCACTGCTGCTCCTCCTGTGGGGCTGACGGCCAGGGTCAAGGCTGCTCTGTCTCTGGGGCCATGGAAGGGCTTTGGGACGTGTGGTGCGCCCGTGAGGACGGGCCCAGAGCCGGCACAGTGACTGTCCCAGGGCCTGCCCTGGCCACCTGCCTCCTCTCCACTTTCCCTCCTCTGCCCGTCCCTGGAGGAGACGCAGGGGAGAAGGGCTGGGGCTGGGGCGCCGTCTTTCCAGCCTCAACCTGCCCGCTCACCTGGTTCTGTCCCTCCACTGAGGCCCCCGGCCCGTCCCCACAGCTGGCCAAAGAGCCTTTCCAAAGAGGAGCGGTGGCCCCGGCCCTCAGCCTCCCGCCGCCCGCCCCTCGCCATCTCTTTCTGAAACGTGGGTGGAGGTTGCTGGCCCAGGGCCCCCTGCTCCAGCCCAGCGTGACCCAGCCCTGCCCCGTCCACCCCAGGGGCCCTTGGACATCTTCAGTTCCCTTCTCCCATCTTACCTGTGGGAAAGCAGAGTCCGAGAGGATGTGACTTGCCCCAGATGCCAGAGCACTTGAGGGATGGTACCTGGTGCTCCCTCTGTCTTCCTCAGGAACCGAGAATTGTCCTCAGAGGCATTAGGGACAGACTAGAGCAGCCCAGGGGACAAGGGGCCAGGACGGGTTAGAGATGGCAAAGGCCTGTCTGGGGGTGAGGAGAACGGAGGCGGAGGCCAGGCTGAGCCGGGAGGGAAGGAGCGGCCGCAGGGGAAGGTGTGGGGGCTTCCGTCAGCCCACAGGTGGTCTGGGTTCCTGGAGCCACCAGCCATGACAGGGCATTGCTCCTGGGTTCCAGAGGCAAGGGAGAGCTAAGGCTGAGGCTCTGGGCTGGCCTCCGGAGGGAACCCCGGGCCTCCTTCCCAGTTTGTCCTGAACATTTCAACGTGGTACCCGCTCTCCTCCCAAGCTGGCACCCTGAACTCTCGAGTAGGGCGAGGAGTGCCTTGGCCAGGGTCGGAGAGGGCGGGCCCCGAGGGGCCGTGTGACCTCGGGCACCTGCTGCTGCTCTGAGCTGCAGAGTCTGCCCCTCGTGTGGCCTTGGTCTCTGCGGCTGCTCAGCCCTGTCCACCCCTGTGGCAGGGCACCTGTGGTGAGCCCGTTGGGAGACTTGGGGCCCTGGCTCTGCTGTTCAGGGTATGTGGTGGCTTCTCTTCCAGCCTCAGTGTGCCCATCTGTAAAGTGGGCAGCTGACGATTTGTGGCATCTTGCCAAGGGCCCCTGTGTATGTGTGTGTGCACGTGTGTGTGTCTCCATGTGTGTCCATATTTAACATGTAAAAAATGCCCCCTCTCTGTCCCCCGACACGTGGTCCATTCCACCCACTGTCCCCATCACAGCAATAACGTCCCCGCTGCCAGGGGCTCTTGAGCCAGCCAGGCCCTGGCAGGGGGGAAGGAGGCACCTGCCTAGGAAATCCCGACTTTTCCTTCTACACATGTCCATCTCCCAGGTCTCTTCCTGTGCATCCCAGTCCAACCTGGGCCCGCCCACCCCTGCGCTCCCCATCACTCCTCCGGCTGCCCAAGGCCCTTGGTATAAGGCGTCCTCATACTGTCCTATTTTTTTTAAACAGTGTTTTGTAGATTTCAGATGACTATGCAGAGGCCTCGGGGACCCCTGGCTCTGGGCAGGGCCTGGGGGTCCCACATTCCATGGCCCAGGCTTGGGGGGGCGGGGGGACCTAGAATTGGTTGTAAATACTTTGCATATTGTCTGATTAAACACAAAGAGACCTCAGAACGTGGCTGCGGGTTTATTGAACATCTACTGTGTGCAGAGAGTGGGTGGGGGCAGCTGCAGTCAGAGGGGCCTTTGTCCCAGTAATGCTGGTGGCTGGAGGGCAGTAGGCCACAGGGACAGGATCCGATGGGGATGGCCGCGGGGGCTGTGTGTGCAGTCCGCACCTGTGTTGGGGAGTCACACTGGGAGAAGCGCCAGGCCAAGCCCAGGACCCCAAAGACTGGGAGGTTCTGGACTTGGATGCCTGGCGGTGGTGGCAGCAGACTCTGGGGACTGGGTGGGGCCGCGGGGGCTGCCAGGCCCAAGTGGAGTGGGTGCTGCTGTGTAGGTGGCGATCCTGAGACGGGGCTGTGCCGGGTTCCTGTGTCCCTGGGGGTGCCGGGTGGGGGTGGTCTGCGACGGACCCGAGCACTGGCCCTGAAGGAAGTTTGAAGACCCCCAGAGTCCATCCTGCGGAGGTGATCTGCCACCGCCCGTGGAAGGACACTCGTCTTACATCAGACGTCGCCTGTGTGGGCGAGGCCCCTGTGGCCCTAGAGTTGGAGCAGGCTGAGCTCTCTGACCACGGGGGGTGCATCCTGGTTCTTGCTGTCCCCAACCCTCTCCTCTCCTGGGTTTCCACCCCCAGAGCTGGTGAAACTGGATACTGCTCAGTTCAGGGTTAATTTCACGAACAAATGCCATTGGGTCCAGGTCAGAATGGACCCCTGGAGACCCCATGGGCTTGCGGGGGCAGGGGTGGGGCATGGGTAGGGGTCTGTGATGTGTGTCCTCTGTGAAGTCAGGAGGTGTGACCCATGTGCCCGGGCATCACCGACAAGGCACAGAGAGGGGAAGGCAAGCGATGTCCACCCTGCTGTGGTCACCAGGGCCACCGCCTCTGGCCCCTCAGCTCTTCCTTCCGCCCTGTCCCGTTTCCCACCACTTGAGGGTCGGGACCTGGATGGACCTGTGCTCCCCGCCTCCCCTTCTGCCTTCAGTGAGTTTTTGCTATTATTCTGCATGCAGTTCTTTTGAGAAAATAAAATATATTTTCCTCCATGACAAAAATAATCTGTGTCCCTTTTGTCAGAGGATGAAAGACTCACCGTCCAACCACGATGGCCGACGCGCCCTCCTGCCTGGAGGGTGGTGGGCGCGCTCCTGGGCCCCAGCGCGGGCCTCTCGGGTCTCCCGTCTGAGCTTCTCCTGGCTGCCCTGGCTTTCTCCTCCCTCCCTGCGTCCCCCCTTACGAAATTCTCTTGCCCAGACCTTGCATGGGGTGCATCTGCCTGTGCACACTCAGGCACACACGCACGCTCGCACGGCCTGCATTTCCTCTCATCTGTCTTCCTTTCCTGTTTTTCTCTCATGGGTTCCAGAAAGCTGTGGTTTGCAGGGGGGAGAAGAAGGCTTGGACAGAGGCTGGCTGGGACAGGAAGGGTGGGGACAGGAGGGAAAGAGATCAGGGACCTGGCAGAGGCTGCGCTCTCTGACCCCGGTGGGTGCATCCTGGTTCTTGCTGTCCCCAACCCTCTCCTCTCCTGGGTTTCCACCCCGAGCTGGGACTCTGCCCCAGCAGCATGTCTCCTGGATCCTGGACCAGTGTCCACGTGGGAGTGTCAGCCTCTGCCTTCCTCTTGCTGTGGTCTTTTTGAATGCCCATTTCTTTCCCCGATTGTCCAGGTTGGGGCGGGTGTGTGTGCGCACGCTGATGTGGCTGAATTCCTGAGCCAGAGGGTCTGTCTCCCTGTCTCTCCCTCCCCCTCTCCTACGGCGTCCACGTGTGTGGGTGTGTGTGTGCGTGCAGGCGCCCACCTGCTTTCCCCTATCCCTGGGGGTCCTAGGGTGTTCTACTTCTCATGGCCCATGCTCCCTGCAGCCTCCGTCTCAATGTAGCCTCCGCCTCAGGGCTGCCTCCAGGAGGGCTTCCCTGCAGCACCCCCAGGCGTCCCGCCTGCAGCCCACCCGAGTCCCTAAACTCCTGTGCCCTCTGCAGAGGCAGCGCTATTCCCCTCTGGTGCTGGGCGCAGGCCTTGGGGGCTGGGGCTCTGCTGTGGCCCTTCACTCCCCACCCCCTCCTGCTGGGTTCTTTGTCCCCCCGCCCCCCCCAGGCACTTGAGGCTCCTGCAGCTGCCCGGCGCTCCCTGCTCCTGCCCGCTGCCCTGCACCGAGCTCCTGCTCCCTGACGTCTTCAGCCTGGCCCCTTTCCCGGTCCCCGTGTCTCCAGTGTTCCCTGTGATGGCATCTGTCCTAACCTCGGCCCAGGCTGGCACCCAGACAGAGCCCTGTTCTGACTTTTGTGGGCTCTTCTTCCATAAAAGAAAATGCAAAATTGTATTTTATGACAACATTGATAAGAAAAGGGGGCCATGTCACTGTTATGTATTGAGACATTTTCTAAGGGCTTGGGTGGAGCTGGGGGGGAGAGCTTGCCTGGCCCGTCTGTGCGAGGGCCCGGTTTCATCCCCAGCACTATTTTTTAAAAAAATCTGTTTTTCCTTTGAGCCAAAGTTCATCTTTATTTTATTGTAAGAGAAAATTAAACACTTTATAGTCCCTAAAGCTCCCGTGGGCTGGAGATTTGCTGGTGCCTCTTTGGCCGGGCCCGGTCGACTGTGGGTCCCCGTCCCCCCATGAACTGTCTCTGCCCTATGCTGGGCTTGGGACGTGCATCAAAGCCAGAGGGTGTGTGTGAGTGCCTGTCCCCTCCCTCGGTCTCTGTCTCTCTGTCCGTCTCTCCCACGCTAGCCGCTAGCCGGTCTGTCCCTTTCTTTGGCTTTGATTCCCTCAAAGCCCACGGGTGGACTTGGTGTCTGTGGGGGGGTTCGGCCCGTCCCTGGGCCTCCTGCCTCCTAGGCCTGTGGTGTCTCCAGGGCGCTGTCCCGCTGCCCCGCCCCCTGCACCAGCTGTGTGGAGTCCCTGCCATCGCCAGGGCTTGCTTTCCTGTCATTCATGGTGCTCCTGCCTGCAGCGCGGCCTGTGTGCGTGCACCCGTGTCCCTGTGTGTGGCAGCGGGGCAGAGGGGCAGCCCTCCTCCCACCCCCTGTTCTCTCCCCCTTTGAGGGGAGGCCCTGGCTCCGTGCGTGCGGGCAGCCTCTATCAGGCGTGTGCGTGGGCACCAGGCCCCCCTTGCAGGCCCGCCCCACCTCGTGCCCTATCTGGACCCTTCCCTCCCCTGCCCTCTGCTCGCTCCTTGGTCCTCAGCTTTTTCTCTCCAGCTCAGTCCTGAAGCTCCCGCTCCCTCTCACTCAGGCGCAGAAGCCCTCGTCCGCTCGTCCCCTCTCTGGCTCTGCATCCTTCCCTTGGCCAGCTCCACGGAGCCCCTGCTGAAGGCCCCCGGCCCCCCGGCTGGGGTTAGGGGTTAGGGGTGAGGACATCAGCCAGGTCCAGCCTTCCGCAAGGCCTGAAGGACAGGAGGGAGGGACATGCAGAAAGGCCTGAGACCTCAGGAGCCAGTTCTGAGCCCGTCCAGAGGGGCAGGGAGGGCCCCTGAGCAAGCAAAGGCCAAAGGATGGGTGGGAGAAAGGAGGGGAGGAGGGCAGCAGAGGGGGCCCCCCAGGCAGCAGAAAAGCCCGAGCCAGGGCCAGAGAGTGTGAGAGAGGACAGACAGACACAGTCTCCAAGAGAGGAGGGAGGCCCGCAGCTCCTGCCCTACCTGTTGGTCTCCCACCTGTCCCTCTCCACGCTGGGGCTTCATCTGTCTCTGCCCTGGGCATCCTGCTGCTCTTTGTGAGTGTGCACGTGTGAGTGTGCACGTGTGTGTGATTTCCTGGGTCTGGACCCCCGTTCTCCTCCCTGCACCTCGAGCTCCCCCACTCCTCTCCCGCGGTCCAGGCGTGTGTGTGTGTGTGTGTGTGTGTTGCACTGTGTGATGTTCTGTGGCCGCCGTGCGCCTGCCTGGGGTGTGTGTGGCTAGTGTGCACTGGAGCACAGTGTGTGCAGGCCGGTGTCTGTGGCACAGGGTCCCTTACTGTGGCCTGAATCCAGCAGGGGCTGTGCCGAGGGTCCCTCACATCACTAGGACACTGTCCTCTTTCTTTCATTCTCGGTGGGTCCCTTCGTTCAATCCGAATCCGGTTCCTAAGAGGCGGCCTGGCCTGGGTGGCTGGGCGCTGCTCTCTCGTCCCCTCTGTCTTCCTGTCTCTTTCTCTTTCGTTTTGTTCCTTTTTGTCTCTGTTTCTTTGTTTCTTTCTGTTTCAGCCTCTGGGTTTCTAAGCTGCCGCGCTCAGGCATTAATTAGCTTCCCGTTAGGATGTGACTGTGCCGCGCACCTGTGTGTGCGCCCGTGTCTCTGTGTGTGTGTGTGTGTGTGTGTGTGTGTGTGTGCCCTGTCTTCTCTTTCCCGCAGGCTTGGCTGTCCCTCCACCTCCTGTTCCGTGCCCCCAGCCCTTGCCCGGGCCTCCCAAGGCTGTGCCAGTGCCTGCGTGGCGCTGGGCCCTGCCCTCCCGGCCTGTGGCTCTGCCCTCCAGCCTGCAGGTGTGGGGTCACTGCTGTGGGCCGGGTTGTCTTCTTCCCCCAACAGCTCTTCCTGGAACACTCACGTAGCAGCTGCCTCTGCTGGCGTGTGTGTGTGTGTGTGTGTGTGTGCGTGCGTGCGTGTGTGTGTGTGTGTGTGTGTGAGCCCGCCTCCCCTCCTTCCCGCCTGTTCTCTCCCTGTCTCTAAGGTGCTCCTGAAGTCTGCCCTGGCTCTTGTGTGCAGCGTCCATGGACAGGCGTGTGTGTGTGTGTGTGCGTGTGTATGTGTGTGTGTGACAAGCTGTCTGACCGTGGGCCATCTCTGTCACTTTCCCTAATTCTTTGTCCCGCTCTGGGGGAGTTTCCTTTATGTTCTCTTTTGGTCAACACATGGCCAACGGCCCCGGGAGGGCGCGCGTGTGAGGGGCTGCCCTGCGCCCACTCTGCCCTCCTCCTCCCGCCCCAGCTTGGAGATTCCAGGCCAGTGTCCAGTCTCTCCCCCGCCGGCCCCCAAGGTGTCTCGGGTCCCTTCTCGTGCCCATCTTTGAGGCTCTGTCCAG